AAAAATGCACTTGTAAATGGGAATAAGCATTTCAATATTTTAGGAGGAGGGTTAACAACATTTGATAATTGAATTTTCTTATAGTTAGTAGTATTTTAAATTTTGCTGCCTTAAAAATTAAGGCTCTCTTACACTTCTCTCCAGAAGTAGAGATTTTTTTAAATAAATTTTTATTGTTCATATTATTACAAATGTTCCTCCTCCCTCCCCCATTGCTCTCCTCCACCAGGTTCCCACCCCACCCTCTGCCCTTTCCCCACCCCCCATTGTCCTCATCCATAGGTGCACAGTTTATGTTCAGTCTCTTTCCACATCTCCCACTCCCCTTTTCCCCATGAATTGTCAGTTCACTCCCCTTCCATACCTCTGATTCTATTATATTCACCAGTTAATATTGTTCATCAGATTTTTTTTTTAATGTCCTTGGTTTTTAGATTCACTTGTTGATAGTTACGTATTTGTTGTTCATAATGTTTATCTTTATTTACTTTCTCTTCTGAAAGAACCCCCTTCAGCAATTCATATAATTCTGGTTTGGTGTTGATGAACTCCTTTAGCTTTTTTTTTTTTATTAGTGAAGCTCTTTATCTGACCTTTGATTCTGATTGATAGCTTTGCTGGGTAGATTATTTTTGGCTGTAGGTTCTTACTATTCATCACCTTGAATATTTCTTGCCATTCCCGTCTGGCCTGCATGGTTTCTGTTGAGAAATCAGCTGACGATCGTATAGGTGCTCCTTTATAGGTAACTCCCTGCTTTTCTCTTGCTCCTTTTAATATTCTCTCTTTGTCTTTTGCTCTTGGGATTTTAATTATGATATGTCTTGGTGTGGTCCTCTTTGGATTCCTTTTGTTTGGAGTTCTGTGCGTTTCCTGGACTTGTAAGTCTAATTCTTTCACCAGGTGAAGGAAGTTTTCTGTCACTATTTCTTTCAGTATGTTTTCGATATCTTGCTCTCTCTCATCTTCTGGGACCCCCATAATTCTGATGTTGGTTTGCTTGAAGTTGTCCCAGAGGTTTCTTACATTATCTTCAATTTTCTGGATTCTCTTGCCTTCTATCTTCTGCGGAGGAGTGTCCTCTGGCTCTTTATGTTCCCAATCTTTTACTTGATTCTTGCGATCTTCCATTCTGTTTTTAGGACTCTGTATAATATTTTTTATTTCAGACAATGTATTCTTTATTTCTTGTTGATCCCTTATCATTTCTTGTTGATTCCTTATTAATTCTAGTTGATCCCTTTTCATATCCTCATAGGTCTTATCGATCTTTTCTAGGAAATTCTTGAAAAACCTTATAAGCGTAGATTTGAACTCGATATCCAGTCGCTTTTTGTCCTCCATTTCTTTCGTTTGTGATCTATTTCGTCTCAGCATTTTTGCAGTTTCCATGATGGGGCAAGGTTTCAGGGTGGAGCCTACAGCTTTGGCTTCTGTCAGCCCCGCCCTATGCGGCTCCTGCATCTCAGGGTCCTTCAGTACTCCTTGCAAGCACCTCTGAGAGAAAGGTGCCCTTGATTTTCGCCCGCTACCAAACAGTCTAGGCCACATGTGTCAAACACAAGGCCCGCGGGCCAAATCCGTCCCGCCAGGCCTTGCAATGTGGCCCGCACCGCGCTGTCATCACTGCACTCCGCTGCGTTTCCATCACAATGACAGTTTATGACTGTTCAGTAAACCATTCGGCCCGCAATTTAGGCTGGATTTTAGATTTTGGCCCCTTCTCTGATTGAGTTCGACACCCCTAGTCTAGGCTCTTCCCCAATGAGCCCTGTATTGGGGTTCAGTTCAGTTGGAGGTGGGATTGGAGGTGGCGTTCAGAGCAGTCTGGAGCCCCTGTCTCCTTCCCGCCAGGGCAATCCCGCGGCACAGCCAACTGTTCCTTCTTTGCGCTCAATGCCGGGACCTCCTTTTGCCGCTCCCCCGGGGTTCCGCCTTACAGCCCAGCTCCCTCTGTTTGAGCCTGGGTCCCCGGGGTCTGGCCTAGAACTGGGGTTCAGAGCAGTCGGACTGGGGCCAAACACAGTTGGAAGTTTTATCTCCTTCCCGCTAGGGAACGACAGCCAGGCACTCAGCCACCCTTCCTCTCCTGCTCCGTCCTCTCCGCGCGCACCGCGTGTCTCTGTACCTTAGGCTTTTACAGCTCCTCCGCTCTTCCTTCTGGCCTTCTCCTTGCTTCTCGTTGTAGAATTTCCAGTCAGTTGACTTTCCTGTAGTTCTGGGTAATGTCCATTTTATATTTTAGTTGTATCTTATTGAAATTGTTGTGTGTGGCTGCGGCTAGGTGTCTACCTATTCAGCCATCTTGGATTCTCCCCCCAGAAGTAGAGATTTTTAAGTATTACACATGTGAATAGTAAGTGTTTTTAAGTTAAAACTTAAGTATTGTTACTTTTTCTTAAGTGTTAGTACTTTTAAAAAAAGGTACATTTTTCAGTTTAACGATTGCCATGACGTTTAGAGAAGTGATTGCCGAGGTCTCTTGCTATCCAGTCTCGCAGAAGATTTTCAGGATTGAAGAGCGCTATGTGATCCTAGTCAGCACTAGTTAGGTTTGTAAAATATGAAACTAAATTGGGACAATAGTGTCTCGGCCCGGTATTTGCGCAGTGCTTGGTGCAACCTGGCAGCAGTCCCCGTGGACAGCAGAGCTGTCCTGGGACCGAAGTGTCCGTGAGGGTGTTGCTCTTTGCCTGGTATTTCATCTCAGGGCTTGACCCTGAGTCTCAAGATACTAAGTTGATTCCACTGAGAAATTCTAGTGAGAGCACTTTCCAGAACATTGTTCCCAGATGTGTGTTCTATTCTCACGCCGGGTGCATCCTGCCAACCACATTCACACGTGGCAGTGTGGTCCCAACGTGGTCATGTTCCGGGAGTGGCTGATCACTTTAGCTCACATCAGTGGTTTCCAAAGTGGAGACTGGGCCCCAGGAATTCACAAAGGAAGACTTGGGCCATGTGAACAAATCAGGAGAACTTGCATTTGCCTTTATTGTTGTTGTTGTTTTTTAGCTAAGTCTTTGTGTGCAATATGTCTGCCAGTGAATAGCATCATTTACAAATAATTGCACACATGTTGGGTCTATGTGCTCTCACTTTGTTTTGCTGATGGGTGATGTCTGATCAAGAAGGTTCAGACTAGGCAAGGCTCTGAGGAGTGTCCAGCAAGGATTCTGTCTGTGCCCTCCCAGCTCCTCCAGCAGTGAGTGTCACGCTACGTGAGATTTGCGCATCTGTGTGCTTCTCTTACGGAAAGAGCCCCAGCTCCTCTAGGTCAGCGTTTTTCAACCGCTGTTCCGCGGCACACTAGTGTGCCGCGAGATGTTGCCTGGTGTGCCGTAGGTGCAGACAAGACAAGAATTTTATAATTTTTCACTATTTTGTTTACTTAATATTTCATAATAAAGTAATTATAAAATACTTTCTTTGTGTTTATTTGATTCCTATTCAAGAGAATTACTTTATATATAGTCAATATAGGCACAGAGTTAAATTTTTTAACATTTTCTAATGGTGGTGTGCCTCGTGATTTTTTTCATGAAAAAAGTGTGCCTTTGCCCAAAAAAGGTTGAAAAACACTGCTCTAGGGTCTCAGAGGCTTCTTTGGCCCCGAAGGTCACATGTCTCTGGGCTGGACACTTGTTTGGACGGACTCAATCTTGTTTACAGATGCCTTCTTAGGTTAAATTATAGGGTATTCTATATTTTTATTAAAAAATAAAGTATATAATTAGAAACGTATTCCTTTTAACAAGTAAAGTTTCACCAAGACTTCTGAGGATCTGCAGCCATGGCCATTGCCATGGTCTCGTGGTGTGGGGCCATGCAGCACCCCTGGCTGGACTCTGGGTCCCCGTTTCCTTTAGAAAGATGTTGTTGTATGCCTTCATTAGTCTTCCAGCTTCTTAAAAGGTTTAGTACATTGCTGTCTCTCAAAGCCAAAGTCATTGGCGCTAGGCAGATGTGACTGCACAAGAGCTGCTTTGGAAACTTCCTGTTTGGCGTGGAGTTTCCTGCTCTCTGTGGCTGCTTCTGTGGAGTCTGCCCGGGGCAGGCGATGGGATTGCATTGGGATGGGGATGAGAGTTAAGTCTGAAAGTTGGCTGACAAGGTGAAATGGAGTTTAGTCGAAGTCATTCTTGAAACCCTTAGAGTACTCATAAAACAAAGGTTTTGATTTATAGTGCTTTGTGGTTACATTTTTATATGACCCCCTGTAGCTCTTTAAGTTCTTCCTTGAGAGATGGCAACAGTTTACCAAGGGTCAGATAATCTTACCATTCACACATCCTTTCCCGTAAGTATGGCCAGGGCCCATGCTCATCGACGCGGACTATTTAAATTACTGCTTTTATAAGCGTGTACAGATGAGTTAAGTATGACAACCATGCTCGTTTCCAGCTGCGCCATTTCATTCGCCAAGCCTGTAGCACCTGATTCCCACGAATGGCGCTTCCTGAAGAGGAGTCCCCTGTGCTTGTTAATGCATGTAGTGAGCATTGGGTGTGCGCAGGGCTTTGCTTTGGCATTGAGGCCACCGGAACCAGAAAGAAGGCAGGAGAGCAGCCAGAGGGGGCACCGCTGTTCCAGGTCACGTGTGTGATGGAGAAACAGGATTTGAATAGAGGGCATTGAGGGGCAGATGCCCTTTCCAAGAAATGGACACTCGGAGGAGGGGGGAAGAGAGGGTTGTCAGGTGTCTTTTTCCACCAGACCCTGTTTCCTGGGTCAGTGTGCACCCCCCCCCCCCATCCTTACTCTCCTCTGCGCCCCCCTCCCACCCCAGCAGCAGGGCAGTTCTGATAGTGTGAGCATGACCTTGGTGTGACCTCGTTGTGAGTGGCACATGGGAGCAGGCGGGGCGGACGGTCTGGTTCCACAGGCATCGTCACTGACAGAAATGGGGAGGTCCGAGGAACTGGCTCAGATGGGTGCTTTATTCTGTGATGTCTGTGAATGCATCGTACCTGATTTTAAGGGCTGTTTGTTTTTAACAGGAATCACTAGATTCGATCTTCTGGGAGACTTCGGAAGGTTTAACTGGCTGGGAAATTTCTACATCGTGTTATCCTACAATCTGCTTTTCGCTGTGGTGACCACACTGTGTCTGGTCAGAAAATTCACCTCCGCGGTCCGGGAAGAGCTCCTCAAGGCCCTAGGTAATGCGCAGGCGTGGCGTGGTTCCCTCCTGCTGATTAGTAACTGCCGGGAGAGTTAGTTTTCTGTTTCTCTCATTTTTCCAAACATGAGCGCTCAGAGGTCACAGTCCTGACCCTGTGAAATCTCCCCAGGAAGCGGGCCCTCCTCACCGGCGAGGCCCCTCTCTGAGGACGGAGGGTCAGAACAGGCATCGTCCTCGGGGGCTGAGCTCGTCCTGCAAGGTGTCTGCTCTGCGCAGTGAGCTCACAGGGCAGGGAAAGCCTGTTCTCCATTCCTGGGAGGAGGCTCCTGACCCTTTTCCGTGGCCACTCGCACGGGCAGTGGGAGCGACTCCTCAGAGGGTGTAAATGTGCCCCGGAGTGTATTTGTCCTCTCTCGGCAGCGGTGACACAGCACGACCCAGTCTTCGGATGTGGGCGCCCAGGGTAACAGAAGGGACCACATGTCAGGCTCCCGGGTGCGGGCCTGAGCCTGTAGCACGCAGGGAGAGGGCAGATGGTAGGCGATCCTGACAGGCGCTCACCCACCTGCCCTGGCAGCACTCGTGCTTGCACTCCACACTCCATGTGCTCCCAGCTCCTGGACAGCGGCCCGATGCTGGCACTGAGGCCTGCGGTCAGGTAACAGCCCATGAGCAACAGCTTGGCTCACTGGGGCTTCCCAGCCAGGCACTGAAGGGTGACCCTTGGGCCCGGCCGGCATGGCTCAGTGGAGGAAATGAACCTAGGAAGCAGGAGGTTAGGGTTCCATTCCCGTCAGGCACATGCCTGGTGTGGGCTCCATCCGCAGTGTGAGGCTTGTAGGAGGCAACTGATCAGTGATTCATCTTTGATGTTTCCATCTCTCTCCCTTCTCTGAATTCAATAAAGAAAAAAATACACATATTTTAAATAAAGAAGGGGTGACCTTGGGGAAGGAGATAGGTTTCAGATTGTTTGTGCTTTGCTTTATATAACCCTGTAGGGAGGTAGGGAGGTGGCTGATGGGATATTAGCCCGAAAGGGAAAAGTCGTGCCTCACGTCAGCGGAGCCCAGAAAGCGGTTGGGTCCCTGCCAGCTGCGGGTTCTGGCTGTGGGTCTGCACGGCATGGGACCAGGCACTTCCGCTGGCCGTGTGCAGCTCGCTCAGCTCCACGCCACCTCTGCCACAGGCGGCTGTGGCTGGGCGTGCCGCTGTGAGCAGGGCCTGGACGTCCTGCCAGGGTGTCCGCACACCGCCGACAGCTTAGCTACGTACGATGGCGCCCATGGTGGCTTCTGCACAAGACAGACACTGGTTCCTCCAAACCCCAGCCGGCGGCACCCATGTTTCAGAAGGAACCCCTCCCAGGAGGGCCAGTTCTTTCCCCTCCCATGGTGCAGGGTTCTGAGTGGGGTTCCGAGGAGGTGGCGGCTCAGTGGCACCGGTTGCTGTGACTGACATCAATACTTTCTATTCTCTGAGATACCTTTCTTCAACTTGTTGCTTTGCCATTTCTTTCTCTTTTCATTTGGGTAATGATTTCCATTGCCTTTCTTTTTAAATGCATGCTTCATATTTTGCTGTGTCTGTCCATGTGTTTTCCTGTGTTCTTCATATGTGTGTATTTTGAGACACAAATAGATGATGCTTGTGTGGGATTGGGCTTCCTGGGAGGCCCCTTGGGTAGGAACAGTCTTGCAGGAGGATCAGTGCTGAGGGTGGGTGAGGGGGGTAGGGGGACCTTGCCGAGGGGGCAGCTGCCTGCGCCTCTGCACAAGTCCTGCTGCCTCCAGGGGGTGCTGTGCTTGCCACAGGGCTGGCCGGCCCCGGTGGAAGAGAGACCCCGTGGAGGTGCCCTGCTGCCCCCCCCCCCCCCGCCCCCCGGGCAGAGCCTCCTCTCACCGTTTCTTCTCTCTGCAGGGCTCCACAAGCTGCACTTATCCAGGGCGCCCCGGGAGTCGGACGCCGCCAAGCCGTCCGCCAACGGGCACCAGAAGGTCCTGTGAGCCGCTCACACAGCGCAGACGCCGAGTGGCTCGGACATTCCGTCCCACACTCACGTTCTAATGTCTCCTGGGAACCTGCGGGGCGTGGGTGCCAGCCCACACCCACGCCTGCTCCGTGGGGACGGCCACCAGGAGGCAGCCAGAAAGCTAGGGCCTCCGAGGACTTGCCCCGCCAGGACCTGCACCCGCGGAGGCTGCTGGCGGCACCTGGTGCTGGGACAGGAGGTGCCAAGGGCGCCGGGCGAGGCCAGGGCGTGCACCGGTGCAGGAGGGTGTGCCTGGGACGTGGGAGCTGCGTGGCGCCCGTGATATTTCCCACGTCCTTGACGCAGGACAAAGCACACTTCAGATTTAGTCACAGAGGAGAGTCCGGGGAACACCGGGAACTCAACCCCACGCCTGGCCAGCCCTGCACCACCAAGGTGGGAGGGAGTGGCCAGCCGGCTCCAAGTTCATGGCCGGTCAGTGTCTCCTCTCCTGGCACAGCTGCCAGTGTGAGACCCTGGCAGTGCTTTCCTCACAGGCTGTAGGACTCCATTTTTAAGCCCCTTTTCTAAACTCCACTCCTCCCTGTGTCCTTCCTGAACTCAGCACTCCTGGTAGAAGCCAGTTTCTTTTGCCGCCTCAGGCTTCACCTCAAACCTGAAAACGCACAGCATCTGGTTCAGGCGTAAGAAGAGTTTGGCCGAGTATCTGATCTGCTAGCCGCTCCCTTGTTAAGCTGTAAATAATTCTCGGGTCCTGTCGTGGCCCCACATCCACTGAATAAAGTTGTCCCCCAGGAGACTGAGTTCTGTCAGTCAAGCGTGCCGAATCCAAGGGCGCCCCGCCCACACAGCCCTAAATCCGGTCTCTACATGTCTCTACATACACAGGTATGTTCACATGTCTGTAAATACGTACATATATTCATATGCACTGTGTGTGCAATGAGCCATCTATGCAGGCAACAGTAAAGTAACTTTTTTCTCAGATTGTTGCATTTAAAGCTTTTTTTGAGGGGAGAAATTATGAAAACCAGGCTGTGTATATTGGACATCAAAACATTTCCACTGAGAGTCAAAATAAGAAAAATGAATGTGTGTTTGCAAGCTCCACTGACGGGGCCTGCCCTCCGTGTACACCACCTGCCTTTGGAGCCCCGTGAGATGCAGGTCCCTAACAAACTGAGGTCTGAACAGCACCGGCCTCGTGGCCGCCGGCAGGCGCGCACCCAGGAGGCCCATCAGGCCTGCTGCCTGCACCCTGCAGCCGCCTGTGGGCACCGGTGCCAGCGGTGGCTTTCTCGGGAACGTGTGGGAGCCGGCCCTGGGACAGACGGCCACGGAAGAAGACGGGCTTCCTTCAGGAGAGGGGTGCTGCCCAGGACCCAGTCCAGGCACATCCCGGCAGAGTTCTGGGCACGTGCGAGACGTCCGACCGTCTTTCCGTGTTTGTGTCGGGTCTGTTCTCTGAGCACTTCTCTCTGAAGACTGAGCCACCGGCCGGGCCTCCCAGGGAGGCTGCTGCGGACACCCACGCACAGGCCCTGCCGGTCACAGCCATGAGGGCTCTGCAGGCTGGTCCCTGCACACGGGCCTGCAGGGACCTGTCAGTGAGGACTGGCCAAGGCCAGCAGCTGTCCCCAAAGTGGCACTGGCCCTCGTGACCACAGGCCTCCCCATTCCTACCTCCTGCGTCTTTTCTGAAGGTGTTAGGCCTGGGGGTACAGGTTCCTTGAGGAGACTCAGCCAAGTCCGGTCATTACTTGGTTCTACATATTTAGATAAAATATTTTAAAATTATAAAATTACAGATGATAACTTACATAATGATTTTCCAACCTATTTCTTAGATTTAATGTTTTCTTAGCTTTCTGAACATTCTCTCTAAACTAGATCTGTTCTAAGTAAATGCACACACACTCCCATTAGCACTCAGTGCACAGTGGGTGATGGGTGGGATGGAGCCTTCCTGTGGTCCTGATGCCCAGGTGGTTAAAGGCGTGCACACCTGGTCTTGGGGGCTTCCCGCCTGGCCCCCGGTCCTCGGCCCTCCGGCCTCCCGGTGCCCCCGCCGCGCCCTCCTCTCGCTGTCCTCGCTGTGGCTGGGCAGGTGGAGCGGGTGAGCGGGCGGGCGGGGCCGGTGCCGCCGTTTGCAGGGACGCCTTCGATCTCACCGAGCGCAGGCCAGGCCCCGCTGGCCTCACCGCCTCCCATCATAGGTTCAGAGTCCTCAAGGGGCAGGTAACGGACCTTCCATCGCAAACACCGGCCAGTGCTCACAGCCGCTGGCCTCAGGGACGGGTGCCGAGGGATGGGGAAGTGGCAGCAGCTGGCCTCCGGGTGCTCGGCTCGCCTCAGCCACGGCCCCAGGTTCCAGAACGTGCTGCCAGACGCCCAGCAGCGCTGCCAGGCCAGGGGACAGGAGGCTGGGTTCTAAAGTGGCCTCGTGCTTTAAAATAGTGATAACAAGAACACTCCCAGCAGCAGCCATGGGTGCCGACGCCAGGCTTTGCTTCAGCGTGTTATTTGTGTGACTGCATTTACAGGTGTCATTCATTAAACCCCGTTGACCCTGTGAGTTTCGTACTGTTAGTAACAGTCTCATTCCCACCTTGAGGTGGGGAAGCTAAAGCACAGAGGTCAGGTAGCCGGCCCAGCGGCCCCAGGCTTCAGAAACCCCGGGCGGCGCCGAGCCCCGCCCTCACCCACCACATACATCGCCTCTCAGTCTTCCTCCCACTGACAGCGAGAGCCTCCCCTCCCGGCCCGGGATGACAGCCCCTGCGACCTCCAAGCAGCGTCACTCCTCTACCGAGAAGGCGTGGCTCAGACCTGTCACCTCGGTCTTGATGGGGACAATCAGGGAGAGAACACGTGGGAGATATTTGGGCCTTAAGAACACGACTTGATTGCCTTGAAAGGCATTGTGAGAAACCCTCACCTGTCTGAATCCAAGTAACGGACTGGACTCGGAGACAGAAGTATGGCAAAATGAGACAATAAGTTCTCAAAGGCGGGTGTCGTCCAGTTGTGCAGGCACACCTGGGGCAGCGAACACAGCCTGTTTGTTCAGTCCCTCCTCTTGGTCCTCATTGGCTGAGTACTGTGGGGTCACCTGTTTCCTCATCCGTGGCCTAGGTCTCGCTGTCTCCCATTGGGCCATTTAAAACAATTGGGCTGGGACCTTTCTAGTTGCCCCCACATTCCCCTGTCTAGCTGAGGCAGGTACCCCCGGGGTTTCCACCATGATGCTGGCTGGCTACAGTTCTTTGTTCTTTTTTTAAAATTTTTAATATATTTTATTGATTTCTTACAGAGAGGAAGGGAGAAGGATAGAGAGTTAGAAACATTGATGAGAGAGAAACACTGATCAGTTGCCTCCTGCTCAGCCCCCACCGGGAATGTGCCCACAACCAAGGTACATGCCCTTGACTGAAATCGAACCCAGGACCTTTCAGTCCGCAGGCCGACGCTCTATCCACTGAGCCAAACCGGTTTCAGCTAGTTCTTTGTTCTTATATCCTCTTCCCTCCAGCCTACATTCTGTTTCCACACTGGAGATGCGTCGTGGAGGCCCATTTCCTACAGAAGGAGGCGGTTTGGGAAGTTCTCTCTGGCTCCCCGTTCAGCGCACAGGTCCAGGTCTGGGCACCTGCAGCCCCAGGGGGCGGTGGAGGCCTGGGTTTCCCGTTTCCTTGTTCCTTCCCCCCCCCCCACCCCCCCGTGCAAAGCGGCTGTGTAGACCCCGGGCTGTGAGGAGGACCAGGAAGAGTGGCCACAGCCCCGCACTCAGCTCCAAGGGCAGAAATGGGACACAGGAGGCTGGCATGTCGACAGCATCTTACACGGACACCCGCTGGGCGTGGCTGATGCATCTGAGCTCAGGCGCTCGATGAGAGTCAGCTGTTACTTGAAAAGTTTATTTAAATATTTTAATTTCTCAGCCTTTCTGAGACAATGTCGTGATCGGCTGTAGCAGCTCCTATAAAGGACTGCAGCCTTTGAACTTTGAACATGGGCTGCATGGAGACAGCTGACAGCATTTAAAAGCCTTACAAGTCGTGAGCTTTGGACTTCGGTGTTGCAGAACATTGCTTTACAAAGCCCTGTAGTGTGGATGGGAAATATTTGTTGGGTGTGTTGTAAATATTTTCCTCCTGCTTCCTCCCTCACTGCTTAACTGCAACGTGACCCCCCCCCCCCCCCCCCCGAGGTGCTCTCAAGTGCAAGTCACTGGTGCTCAGGGTCCCCTCCTGCCCAGCGCACCCGCGGGTCGGTCTGTCTGTCTGTCTGCCAGCACCATCGTGCTGTCAGAAGGCTCACACAGTCCCGTTTCTCCTCCCTCACCGTCGGTCACCTGGTGGCCACCGCGGAAGCAGAGCCAGTGCCAGAGCCCCAGGACCTGGGCAGGGGGTCCCGGAGCTGGGGCTCCCCGGGGCTCTGCCAGAGGAAGCAACTGGCCCCACGGACATGGGACCCGGGCATGGGCCTCCGGCGTGACTCTCACCCCACCCGCTCCATCAGAGGAGCGGGGACGCCGCCCCGAGGCCACAGGCTCAGCCTGGACGCGCAGGGCCCCACCGGCCACCCGCCCGGGAGGGACACGGAGCCTCTGGCCCTGAACCCCCTTTGGGGCCGTTGTGTGGGGCGTGGTCTGAGCGGAGGAAGCACCTGCGGGCGGCGGAGCAGGTGCGGGATGGAGCCTCGGGCGGGTGCAGGGCGGCTCTGCCCACAGGCTGCCCTCTGGCCCCAGCACCTCCATCACTGAGAGGAGCCACTCTGCTGCCACCGCCTCGCTTTAATCGGGGCGCCTGTGCAGAGACCCACGTCCCGCAGCTCAGAAGCCGCAAGTCCGGGCCGAGTCACGTGCAGTGTGCCCTGCGGAACCTCAGATCGCCAGCCCCACGCGACGGGGTGCCATGTGCTTGTGGTGGCAGCACCAGCTCAGCACCCGAAGCAAACGGAATTACTATCGTACGGGCACAGGCAGCAGCGCCGGGTGTAAACAGCGATTCCTCAATCGCTCGGAGACGGTGCCGGCGGTGGGTTTAAACAGAACTGCTCTCCTTGGGGCCCGGCTCTCCCGGTCACTGACCGCCTCCGTCCTGGCGTCCCTGAGCCATCGGAGGGGCAGTGTCTGCACGGCCCCTCTGCTCAGTGCTCAGCTCCAGTCCTCAGGCCTGCGGTGGAGGAGCCTGAGGGGACTCCCCACCACAGTCCTGAGCACTCAGGGTTCGCTGCCTCCCTCCGATGGCCAGCCCAGGCCAGCCCCCGGCTTCCTGCAGCTGGTGCCTGCTGGTCCAGTCCCGGTGGGAGGAACAGAGGTTTGGGCAGCGCAGAGCCTGGGGAAGCTGGAGACGGGGCTCAGGGAGCCCAGGAACAGAGCCCCGCGCCTCACCGGTGACACGCTCCCTGACCTCCATCTAGATCCCAGGGTTGGGGCAGTGGACTGGCTGGGCCTTCGAGGGGGATGGTGGGCCAGCGCCCACTTCCCCTGGCTCTGCAGGTCACACCTGCGGCCCGTCTCCCCTGGGACGCTCCGTTGGAACGGCGCGTGAGCTCTGGTCCCCGGTGGTAGGAATCGGTCCAGAGAAGTGAGGCGGGTGCTGGCGTTTTGAGAGGATGAGACAGTAATTAGCAGGCTGTGTCTCCAGCATTCTGTTCCACTTGGCACCGTTGACAGGTGCACCCTTGCCAACCTGTGCCCACCACGGCCTTGCTGGCTCCCCGTGGAGACGGGCAGGTAGAGGAAGGGGCACTCCTGTTCTGAGCAACCCTGGCCAGGCCACTTGGCACAAGTCAGCAGCTACAGAACCTCAGAAACGCAAGTTAGATCCATCCCTCTCCTGTTTCAACTGGCTAAATGCATGAATCTGGCATGTTCTTTTAACAGTAAAGATGGACACAGCTTTTAAAATAGAGTTATATTTCCTATGCACAACTGCATAAGGGTCCTTCCCTTAACCAAACCCCCACAATTTGTCCGACGTTAAGGCAGATGCTGCCCCCGGACGGCGCAGCTTTTCCCTGACCATGAACTTCAGCTTGGAAGAATTTTCTTCTGGTAGCAAGCACGGCAGAGGGGGCAGGCGTGGAAGGGCGAGCTGTCTCCCAGGGAGAACTGCTCCAGGGCCAGCAGGCATGCGTGGTGGAACACGTGGGAGCAGGACAGGAGCACGGTCCTCCGGGGGCGCGGGCCGCTCCCCGCCAGCGGTGCCAGGCAGATGGAGCACTCGCCGGGCTCCCGCTGCAGGGCCTGCAACACAGAGGGAGCGCCGTCAGGTGGGCCCATCCGGGTTCGGGGCGACCGAGGTCCTGAGAGACAGGCGTCTGCTCACATGAATGAGTCTCGTCCTGTGGTAACATATTATAACACCAAACATCCTGTCACTCCTGTGAAAACGAAAAGGGGCCGGACCCGCCTGTGGTAAGACATTTAGAAAAAATCCTTTATAAAATACTGAGCACCGATAATACAGATTTAATTTTAAGCCATAGAACGGTCTTTATCAGAAAACAACTCTAGGTAACTGTTAAATATTATGAATGTTCTTATTTTTATGACATTCAAGTAAGGTTTTCCTCCGCTGGATCCTCAGTGGCCCTTTCTCCCGCGGTCCCTGCAGCCCCCAGCGGAGCACAGGGAGCGGTGAAAACGCAGCACCCGCGGTCTACTCCCTTTGGTGTTCCTCTGTTGGCATCATCAAAGCAGAACTTCAGACAGAGGGCCTGGCAGTCACCCAGAGCAGGTGTGTGAGTGTCTCTGAAGGTCAGGTCCCTAGGCCTCCCTCCGAGGTTGCCACCCCCGGTGGAGGGCCTACCTGTGCCTGGATCTCCTGCCAGTCATCGTCCGTGAGCCTGCGGCCACACTGCCCGTCCAGCTGCTGCAGGACGCTGCGGTTGACGGCCAGGCAGTGGTCGATCTCAGCGAAGAGCTCGTCTATGTCCGTGTGGTAGGAGCAGAGCATGCGCTGGCTGATCTCTGTGAACTGGAAACAGGTGACTCGATGGCGGAGGCCAGCAGTCAGCTCCCCTCAGGCTCTGCCTTTGGGGGAACGGACATCTGGCTGGCTGTCTACCTCCTTGTCCAGGGGATCTTTTTGGTAACCTCTAGGCCTGAAGTACCTGGACAAGTTAGACAGCCAAATTTCTTAACAGCCGATGGAATCGATTCATGGATGTCTGCCTGCCCCTTTGCCACAGAGCACAGACGTGGGTGGCATTTTACATTTCACCTCAAATGTTTAAACAGCTTGTTTGACAATAGTGTGCGGAGGTGCAGTCTCTAGTGCTCCGCACACTCAGTTCTTCTTTATGGCACTATGGTCTTCACATGAAAAGATTTAGAGAAGCTTGGCCACCTTGTGACCAAGTATTTAAATGGGTGTTTCTGGCTGATTGTGGCACAGCACGCTATCTCCTCCTGCTGGCAGAAACCGGAATTGCAAGTGTGAAGCAAAGGGATTGCAGGCCTGGCTATATTGTGCATTTGCTGCTGTGCTTCCGTTCAGCTGTTTCGGCCTGGAGTCTCAGGGGCAGAGGACAGACTCACTGCTGAGCGTGTCTTATGAAGAAATACTGGGAAGAGAGGGGCACATGGGCGGGGGAGAGGGGAGGGGAGGAAAGGGGGCCGGCATAGGGTGCCAGAGGCTAAATAAATGCAAAAAAATCCATTGGAAGTCCAATGAACTTTTTCAGCAGGACTGAAAATCAGCCCTACCTTGGGCTCAATGACTGAAGGCAATTCCCTAACCTGATAATCCTTTTACTGTTTTCCAAACTTTGCCTTTGATATGCCTGCATGCATTCCTAACAGGCAATGTGTATTCAAGTGAATAAAAGCAGATGGACGGAGTTTCAGCGAGCTTCTCCACTAGAGGGAAGTTTCCGCCTGGCCCCCACACCTTCTACATTCATTTCTTGTCTAGTTTTTCATTTGTGGGTGACCCCTTCTTCAGATCCTGAACCCTGGCAGTAAATGGATGCAGCATAGGGTCTGGGGGGCAGGATTGTATTTGATTTATTTTTATCTCCCAATCATCTCAAAGTGGTGTATGATATACTGAAGGGAAAAACTTCGTAGTGTAACTTTTAAGAACTTTCTAGCTACTCTAGGTGGGCACTGCCCAACAGAAATGTAACCTGGAATCTTAAAACTTCTAGGGGCTGGATTTTAAAAGTTGAAATTAATTTTAACGATATATTTTATTTAACCCAACATATCCAAAATATTGTCATTTCAAAATGTATCAATTGAATAATCTATTAAAGAAACATTTTACATTCTTTTTCCTAGCCTGGCTCTGAAATCCCAGGTGGACTGTGTGCTTTCATTCCATCTGAACTCAGAGGGCCTCCCTCCTGGCTGGTCTCGGTCGCAGGGGAACTCTGTGGCGTGGAGGGTGGTGCCGGGTGGCCCACACCTTGGTCTCTTCCTTGTCCTCCCCCAGCACTGAGCAGCCCACAGAAGTTGGTGTCTCACTCAGGCGCCACATTTCCGGCCTCCCGCGCTGGATGGGGCCACATGGCTCTTCCGAGTGGAAGTGGGTGTTGGGAGAACACATAGGGCTCCAAGGCCCAGGTGATGGGAACACAGAAGGGCAGAGGGCTAGTGTGCCCGCTGCACTCCGGCCAGAGCTTCCATTTTCAGTCACTGAGTTAGGGGTTGCTCCTTCCAGCAAGAGGGGTGCGGATTCCTGGTGAACCTGTGTCTCGGGGAACTGGCTGATGAAGGAACTAGGCCCAGCGGAACCTCGCAGACGGTTAGACGTGTGACGTGGGGGCATACATTCCATGGAGTTGGGCTTCGCACCTTCCACTCGGTCCCGTGCCGCTGAAGGAGGAGATGGCTGGGCGGGCACTGCTCCGGCTTGTCCTTGGGTGAGGGCCTGGAGACATCCGCCCACGGGGGCCAGCCACGCACCGCGGGCTCCGGCCGCAGATGGGACGGAGCGGTGGTGCCCGGAGGCCCCAGGGCTGCGGGGAGCGCGGTGGGCTGCGCAGCGCAGACAGCAGCGGCCGCGGCGGATGGGATGGCATGGCTGTCCTTCCACACACGCACATGGCCGGTCCTTAGCGCCTCGCGGACACGGGCCGCCACTGGGCGCCCGGACGGCTGCCAGGGAGGCGCAGGCCCACGTCTCCCGGCCTCGCGGCTGCCTCGCTCCATGGCTCCATAGCTGCATGGCTCCATGGCTCCCTGGCTCCATGGCTCCATGGCTCCAAGGCTCCAAGGCTCCAAGGCTGCGTGGCTCCAAGGCTCTGTGGCTCCAAGGCTGCATAGCTGCATGGCTCCATGGCTCCAAGGCTCCAAGGCTGCATGGCTCCATGGCTGCATGGCTCCATGGCTGCATGGCTCCATGGCTCCATGGCTCCAAGGCTCCAAGGCTCCAAGGCTCCAAGGCTGCATGGCTCCATGGCTCCATGTCTCCATGTCTCCATGGCTGCATGGCTCCATGGCTCCAAGGCTGCATGGCGGGCCTGAGGCTGCCGCTGCAACCACGTGGGAGGACGTCAGGTCAGAGGTCAGGTCGGAGGTCAGGCCTCAGGCTGCGTGGGGCTAGGACGGGGAGGGCGGCCCAGGCGAGGCGGGTGCGAGTGGTCACATTCCCGCCTCCGGCTCCATCTGTGGCTCCGGCCCCAGCATGGCGGCCCCGGCTCCGGGTCCCTGAGCAGGTCCGTGGCCCACGGGGCGCCCGGGCCTGGGCGGCCTCCCGGTTCCCTGGTCCCCGAGGCGGCCTCCCCGCCCAGGCCCGTCACCCCGTCACCCCGCGCGGTCCCCGCGGCGCAGGAGGGAGCGGCTGTCGGGTGGTGCTCCTGTCACCGCATGTGATGGCGGCGCCTGCGCCCTCCACCCCGCACGCTGTCCGCCCCGGCTCTCCGCCCCGGCTCCCTGCCCCGGCTCCCCGCCCCGGCTCCCCGCCCCGGCTCCCCGCCCCGGCTCCCCGCCCCGGCTCTCCGCGGGAGGCAGCCCGCAGGGAGCGCGCCTCCGGATGGAGCGGCACCGGGTGCGGAAGCAGCAGCCACAAATCCTCACGTGTTTTGCTTTTACTTTAGAGTATTTTCTAGCTTTTCAACCCAAACTGCCATTTTCCAGTAATTTACCAAAGTGACTACCACAGAGGGAGAGCAGAGCCCCGCCGTGTGCCGGCCTTCGGGGACGGCGGGCTCCTTTGGCCACACAGTGTGAGTCCCCAGGACCAGGAGACAAGGAGCAGGAGGGCCTGGGAGCCCTGGGCCAGCTGCCCGCCCAGATCAGTGGAAAGGAGCAGGGACTGCGGACCGCTCCCTGTGAGCTCGTGGCCATGGCTGGGAGTGCAGGAAAAAGACAAAACCAAAATACTGTATTTTCTAATTCCCATTGCAATATCTTTTTTGGCTAGGTTATTCCTAATTTGTAAACATTTGAAATATTTTTAGTTTGTAAAAATTATTTCTAAAGTACCCTGTGTCAGCCAGAGAGCATGCTTTATGCACTTACATGGCTTACAATGCGATGAATGACGTTTTGGTCAGTGCTCAGAAGTGCTCTGCTGGCCCTGAGGGAGTGTGTCCCAGCTGCAGGGGGCAGTGTCCTATGCTGTGAGCTCAGTGCCTCTGAGATCTGTCCGGGACCAGCACCGCACTGCATGCAGCTCTTCCTGGTGAGTGCTGTCGGTAAGTACAGGTAGTCACACACTTTATTCCTGTGTTTTTGCGCATATTTCTTTTGTAGCTGCACTTATTTTTATGGGCACATTCAGTCCAACCTGTAACTACCATTGACTGAGTCCGCCCTGCCCTGTCCTTTGCTTGTCCCACCGCTGCTTGGTCTTTCTCTCTGCTCCTCTCCGCAGTGGACATTTGCTGTCCCCGTGTTGTTTCTTCACTGCTTTGAAGGTTAGAACTGTGTGTTCTTTCAGCTGTTACCCTAGAGATGCATTCAGGATTTTGTCCTCATGCAGTGATCTCCCGAGTTAGGTCACTGCCATGCCTTAACCCTGAGACACTGCCATTCTCACTGAGTCAGTGTCTGTTGGTTCACCCACATCTGCCACGCCCCTCGCACTGTGCTCTGCGTCTCTGCACCAGCCCTCTTCCATGAAAGACACCCTTCGGGGAAGGCATTTTGGGGGTGCTCTCCCAGCTTTTGTCTGAGACCGCTTTTCCGGTGCCTCCGCCTGACCGGATTTCCATGTGCACGTGTGCAATTCCAGACTGCCGTCCTGTCTCTGTCAGGACCCGGGACGTCCTGCTGGGTGTTCTGGCTTCTGCTGTTGCGGTTGCTCCTGGGAGCGTCGTCTGCCTTTTGCTCTCCTGCTTCGAGGATTCTGCCTTCAGTGTTACACAGCTTCTGGACAATCCGCCGCCATCGCCAACGTCATTCCCTCTCCCGCCCCCTCCTTACCTTTCCTCCAAACAGTACTGGAGCTCCTCCCTCCCCCTCTTCCTCCTTGTCCTCTAAACTGTACTGGAGTTCCTTGGGCTACTTAAATTGGTATTGCCTTCCGATCTGGAAAACTCGTAGCCCTCCTGCTTCCAGCTACAGCTACTGTCCCCATGTCCTGTTTTTCTTCCCCCTCCATGCCTATTCCTCACTCAGGTCCAAAGTCGGTGAAGTGCAGGCCCAGCAGGTGTCCTCGCTGGAGGCTGTCAGTTAGTTCGATTTAATTTACACGTTCATGTCCACTCAGCTTTTATAACAAACAGTATCGCTTTCACACTTGCTAACAAAGCATTAAAAACTTTCATGCCGAGACCGGTTTGGCTCAATGGATAAAGCGTCCGCTTGGGAACTGAAAGGTCCCGGGTTCGATTCCGGTCAAGGGCATGTACCTTGGTTGCGGGCACATCTCCAGTAGGGGGTGTGCAAGAGGCAGCTGGTCGATGACTCTCTCTCTCATCGATGTTTCTAGCTCTCTATCTCTCTCCCTTCCTCTCTGTACAAAATCAATAAAATATATTAAAAAAAAAAAAAACCCAAAAAAACAAAAAAAAAACAAAAAAACCC